AGCAGAAGCATTTTATAGGGATATCCCTACCTTATTGGGCTTCATTACAAGGGGGTTATATGGGATATCCCTATCCTAATTTTTGCTTGTGTGCTTTTTGGGGGCCCTAACTGCAAACCCTAAGCCCACAGTTTGGGGCTTACTATAGAAGCTTAGGGTTTAGGGTTTGGGGTTGAGGGTTTGGGCTTGAGGGTATAGGGGCCTCAATAATTACCAATACAGTATACCAGGCTCTAGACCCCAGTTCTAATTATTAAGGCCTCTATATTAGGGTTTATGGGGGCCACGGGTTTCCGGGTTTAGGGCTTAGGGCTTATAAGGTTTGGGGTTTACGGTTTAGGGCTTTCAGCAGCATAGGGCTCTGAATGAGTTGTAGTAACATCTCCTTGTACCCCCCGTTCCATTCCGGCAGAAAAACCCCCAACACCATTCTATTTCTGACGGCCGATGTAGAACCTGAACTTAAAGCCTGAAACCAAAATGGGCAGTTCTCTAAATTAGGGCCCCTTTTTTGGGTCCCCAATATAGTACGGCACCCTTGTACAAAGGACCCCCAAAAGGGACCCTAATTTAGAGAACTTCCCAAATCCTAAATATTCTAGCCCCTTTAGTAGACGGCTTCTCCAAGAAACCCTGAGTGCTTTTCCCAGGACGGCACCGTGGATCCCAAAGAGCTTGACATCCAGGTGCCACGGCTCTTAGGGTTTCTGGGCTTTAAGGTTTAGGGTTAAGGGTTTCAGGGCTGTAAGGCATTTTTGTGTTTAGGGTTTAGGTTTGAGGGTGTTTGCTGTATTTAGGGCTTCGTGATTTTAAAAGAGGCGATCTGAAGAGGCTTGGTATTTGGGTTGTATAGGGCTTTCGAGTTTATGGTTTTAGGGTTGAGGTCTTAGGTTCCATGGCTAATGTAGCGTATGGGGTAGGGTTCAGGGATGTTTGGGCTCAGGTTGTGGGTGTAAGGTTTGGGGTTAGATGCGGCTGATGTTATAAATCCTGCATTACCCATAATCAGGAACATACCATACTTCCCATAGTTTAGGGTCCTTAAGGTAGTGCAGGATTTCTATCATCAACCGAAGTTCGAGGTTCAAAAGCCTCTTCGAAGGCCCTCGCAACGAACCGAATGGAGACCCAGAGCAGAAAAGGGAAGCCGCGGAAACAGATGTTGCCAATGCTTTTAGGGCTTGAGTTTTTTATAACCCTCCCTAAAAACCCTCCCTAAATCTTAAGCCCTAAACCCTAAACCCTAAACCCTAAACCCTAAGCCCTAAACCCTAAACCCTAAACCCTTTGGGGCTTTGTTTGGGCCCGCTAGGTCTCAACCCGACACTTGCATCCCTAGCCCTAGCCCTTGACCCTTGTTGGGGTTTAGGGTTTAGGGTTTAGGGTTTAGGGTTTAGGGTTTAGGGTTTAGGGTTTAGGGTTTCTTAAACCCGAAAGCTCTGCTTTATTCGGTTTCGGGAGGGCAACTCAGGGCCGCGGAGATCCCCCTTTGCAACAAAAGGTCACAGCATGGGTTTGTGATTTTCTTTTTTGTAGTGCAGTATTCTCTTTTTTTTTGGATGGACGGGTTTGTTTGTAGGGTTTAGAGAATTGGGGCGTAGGGGCTTCTGTTGCAGGGGATTCTTGCTGTTCGCAGTCATTGTTTTACTGCCTCTTCTGTAGGCCTCACAACGTCAGTGTCAGACTCAGGCTGCAAGACCTGGCTGTCTGCGGAGTTTACCCAACGGTCGACAAGACGGAGGCCAAGCTCAAGCACGGCTGTCCGATGAGGAAGGTGGTGAGGAAATACCTCCACGAAGTTCAGACGGCCCTTAGCAGCAAGGAAAACCAACCAGTCAAGAGCGTTGTGGCAACAGCCCTTTGTCCGGATGCTCGGCGACATGTCAATGCACGGAATGGCTGAAAACTTCACTCTCTTGGGCATCGAAACGGGCGAGAAGTACAAGAGAATCATCGCTCGCCCACGTGAACAGGGGCTCGTGGCGAATGATGCTGCCTGGGCAGCCACTGACGGCGAGCCAGGCGATGCAAGTCACGAGTGGTCGGAGTTGCTGCTGTTCCTGTCAATGTCGGAGTTTCCGAAAATTAGGGGTACCTTATTTAGGGGTCCTTATAATAAGGATCCTATTATTTGGGGTCTATATTGGGGTCCCCTATTTTCGGAAACCCCCACATGGCGCAGGTTGGTGACCGGCGATAAGGCTGTCGGATGGGCAGTAGGACGTCAAACTCAAAGCCGCAAGGCCAAAGCCGATGTAGACTAGCAGTAGCTTGCTTTCTGGTAAGATGGGGCCCTGGCATTTAACATAACATACCCCGGTAGGGTTATTGTATGCTATGAGTTTTCCGGCGTTCTGGAACCACAACGGCTGTTGTTAGTTCCCAAGCCCGAGATGTTTGGGGTTTGCGCTTGAAGGTGTCTTATGGCACACCGAGCGACGCCCTAAACTTGAAGCCTGAAGCCCAGACACTAGCCCCAGATGCTAAGCCCAAGCCCTACAACGTACTATTCTTATGGCAGCCTTGTCCTAAACCCTAAACCCTAAACCTTACCATAACCCTAAACCCTAAACCCTAAACCCTAAACCGTAAACCCTAAACCCTAAACCCTAAACCCTAAATCCTAAACCTTATCTCCCCCCGGAAGCCGAAGACCCGAGGTGTCGATGCAGGAGCTGCCCCCTGGGATGCCGTGAGGGCCTTGGGGTGCGATGGGTTCGGGTGCAGGGTGTCGGGGGTTTAGGGTTCAGGTTTTGGGGTGGTGGGTTTAAGACCCTAAACCCTAAAACCTAGGGTAGTGTTTGTCTGCCGTCGCCGCGGCTATGGCCCTCATGTAATGGCCTACAGCTGGATGCTAAAAAACAGGACGGTATGGACAGCTCGA